ATTTTTAATGCGACGGAGCTCTCGGGTCAGTCGCCGTCGAAGTTTGCGAAACTGACTACTCTTTCCCGAATCACTGTAGTCTGCAACATGTGCAGCAAACGCCGCATTCTTCTCATACACCAATGCGCCGATCGTCACATTGTTGTCATCAAACCAATCAGGCCGCTTACAGTTTGCGCGCCCGATGGTCTCCTCGGCAGCAGCTGTCACCTGGTCGCGAATGTGGTGCCACAGGTCGCCCACTGTGGCTATGCAGTCCACATCACACAGGCGTTCAGCCATTGACTTCTCCAGCTCAGTACGTTTCGCCACAGTACCGAGGGACAGAGTGTTAACTTTACGCCGATTCACGACGGGAGTGCAATACATAGATTTACGAAAATATATGTACAGTTTGGTCCGCACCAACTTGTGATCAGTGCCACACTCAGCTCCACGCAGTACACGTGTCATGCGCACTTCACGCACATCACGCTGACGCGCGATGACATAGTCAAGCAGGTGAGCGTGACCACTCCGTGGGTGCGTCCAAGTTGCTATATCACTCGCACTCAGTGCAAACCGAGTGTTCGTGATCGTCAGGCCGTGAGTGGCACACAGTGAGAGCAGCCGTCACCATTCGCATTCGCTGAACCAATGCCATGCGCACCGATAACGTATGTCCACGCTGACGCATCACCCCGAACGCGCGCGTTGAAATCACCCAGCAGAAATAGTCGGTCGCCCCTCGGCACAGACGGTATCACGGAGGATAGCTCAGTGTAGAACTGACCACGCGTGTCATCAGGATAACACATGGTCGGACCGTACGTGCTTAGAAAAGTAGCAAACTTACCTCTTCCGAGTCGTAGGCGAACAGTCATCAGTCGCGCGCTGATGCCCGTTGGTTCACCCACCAGCTGGCCATGGAGGCGATCGGATATTGCAAATCCGACTCCATGATCACGTGGTGCTGAGGCGGCGTTGCCCACCCAGTAGAATGTGTAGCCAGCACCTGTTTCATGCAACTTACCTTGCTCAGCGAGCCGGGTTTCACTGAGCGCCGCAATATCGATGTTGTAGCGCGCCAGCTCCATCGTGACGAGTGCAGTGCGTCGCTCCGGGCGCTCGCTGGAGTTCCGGTCCAGTAGTGTGCGCACGTTCCAGCACCCGATGCTGAGTGCTTTGCGCGCAGGCATACGATTGCATTGGTAGGCAATCGCACACGAGGTGGTCGTTGTGCTTCGGAGGTTTGCTTGAGGGACTCCACCCGGAGCCTTTGGCTCAATAGCCTGACCCACAAGGCAGTGGGTGGTTTGGAGGTTTGCTTGAGGGACTCCGCCTGGAGCCTTTGGCTCAATAGCCTGACCCACAAGGCAGTGGGTGGTTTGGAGGTTTGCTTGAGGGACTCCGCCCGGAGCCTTTGGCTCAATAGCCTGACCCACAAGGCAGTGGAGAGCAGATCCAGCTCGGGAATGTGATTGCAGAGACAGATTGGGATCTGCTTGACGGCCGTCACACGCAGCCTTTGAGGTACTGGAAATGATTCATATATGTTTTGCGACCGTAGTAGGATACGCACCTGCGACCACGGCCAGACGCAGGTGGGTTTTTGGCGGGTTTGCACCAATTTGACCAGGGGCTGCCTGGCTTGAGGCGGGCAGTAGCAAACCATTGAACACCCGGAGGTGTCCTCCCACCGTCAGAGACAATGCGTGGCGCTCGTGCTCTACGCCAATCGAGCTGTGAGCTTATAACCCGTAGACCTGTTGTCTCCCATGGCTAGGTTTTACGGGAAGTGGGCCATCGACCACTTCCTAACCTCCGGAGAGGATGGACTAGGATACTGCCAGGGCGTCCAATCCTGACAGGAGAACGACTCGGGTCCTCAGCCAAAGCCTTCGATTAAATGAACACCCGAAAGGCAGCGGGTCTAGCACATGGTCAGTTCACTGACTCATGCGGATTGGTGTCCTGGATCTTAGCAGGGAGAAGGGCGAAACCCAACTCCCACCCAGCGGTCGCCACGAGGAGGCGCCCAGGACATGAGCCAATGGCACAACAGTAGCAGCAGTGGGTAGACCATCTGTCAGGATCTAGCCACCACCAGCCTCAGCGCACCATAGGCTCTCCCGCCACACACACACACACACACATATATATATATATATATATATATATATATATATATATATATATATCGACTGGGGAGAGCGACGCTTTGCTGTTGTATTTGGGAAGCAACTACCAGTCAAGAACCTATCAAAGCGAGATGATGAAGGACCTATAATTAAGGCGCTGATGAGAGATGATTGGAATAAAAGTTGTAGTGGAATGGTAAGGATGAAAGAGTATTATAGAGGGGGCATGAGATGAAAAGGCATGGGCGGTATAGCTCTATCCCTCTTATCCACCCCGCTGAATTTCTCAGGTTGCTGGGCACCGTTGTTTAGCTTTTCTACTATCACCAAGGCATCAATAGATCGCTCAGTTACTTGATCCCAGTATTTGGCTGAATGTGTGTTCCGTTCGATCTCGTAACTCCCACGGACCCCGTCTGGAAGTGAGTTGTGTGTCTGTCATTTGGATTTATGCCGCAGCCAGTAGATCAACGTCAACTTCCATAGGTAACTGTCATCCGTCACCCATATTGGCGAAGGACATATGCCATTGTCCTTATTGGCAACATGAATATCCTAGTGGGTCGCTTGTTGAGCTCAACCGACGCCTCATGTTCGGTACACTCGAAACGGATATCAGGCGCTACTTCTCCACATGTGTGCTTGCCACAGCCTTTTTAACTAGCTGCGCAGTTTTGTAACATAAGCATAAATATCTTTACATGGCGTTCACCGAACAACGTCCTTTATTCACTTGAGCTACTTGGCCATCAGTTTTTACTGGTGCACATCGGTACTATCTTTTCTACCAATTAACACTACTTACCTGTATCCCCCGCATCCGTATGGCCTTCGCTCCCCCGCCTTTAGCAAAGTTTCCATCGTTGGAAAAGGTATGGTGTTGCTCATCCCAATACTGGCACCCCACGACCGCGGTTTCGTCCTGGTTTGGACTCATCAGGTGGAGATAGCCTGAGCTGGGTTAGAACTCAGAGCCTAGTGGCTCATGGTTGACACCATAAGCACTATGCTACTGAGATCCGCGAGCAATGCTTGGTACAGCGTTGAGATTGGTCCATCGTTGGGATTTCTCATTCCTCATGTAAACTCGCAGTCCAAAACTTGACATCATCAAAACGGGCTGGCTCATCAGATGTTGTTGACGGGGCCGATGATCCGGATGCCGATTGAAACCGCCTCAAATGTGCTATGGATAATGTTTTCAGAGCATCTTGCCTGCCAACCTTTAGGCATCCGAACTCTTCACAGGTTTGGTTAGTGAGTGCAAGCTGATTCCGTTGCTTATTTACTCTCGGAGGGTACACTTTCATATGACCCTTAGAATGGGCCAGGAGCGTTGTTGGATCGCAAGGGTTCATGAAATGAAAATTACCAATGCGATTGGGAATCGCCGCGTATTCTTTCAGCTCATCTTGAGTACAGGTCCAGAAGAGTCGCCAATTAGCGAAAAAATAACAAGCATGAACGATTAGTTCATTCTCAGCCACGTCTACTAAACCTTTAGATGGATGTTATGTAGGCCTGCTATGGTATCTTCATCCGCTTCGTCACGTGAACTCGCCTGGGACATTGGTGTCACACTTCGACATCAATTTTCTTTCTTGAAGCGACACTCGGTGCCAATGTTCTTTTTTCATCGTTGAGGAAAAGCAAAAGGAGCTCTACACTGTATGGAACATTAGAGAGGTGATTTCAGCGTCACAATCGCTACCAGTCGTTCCCGTTTTCAGAACTTACAGGACGTTGGTTTCCGTTTCGATGAAGGATGTATTGACCATATTTTTATACTTCAAGTGCTGGAATAGCGGCATGCATGCAGACAACTCAGCATGGCTTCACTGTTTTCGGAGGCCACCTACAACTCAGTTGATCTCGCCAGCAAGTTACACTGCTTAGCCTTAAATAGTGTCTTGAATTATCTACCACTGCTCCAGATGCTTGGCAATTGTTTACGAGCTGCCGTCTTCTGAGTCGGCCGCGACAGTTCGGCTACGAAGGCTTGGTCTAGATCCCTTTACTTCTTAAATCTTGTAATAAAGCTGTTCATAATTAACTCTGTCCTTTCACTGTCTTCTAACGTGTAATCTCTTCCGAGTGAACGGCGATGGTTCGTCCAGGACTATTAGGGATTAGACATGCTAATATTGGCCGGTGGCCGAGTGGTCTGCGCGCCTGGTTTGCAACCGTAAAGTCACCGGTTTGAATCCGCGTAGGGGTGGGCGTCCTTGCGGTCTGCTCAGCCCGCGCACGACTGGTGGTCGCGCGGCAGCAAAGCCTCGTTACAGTGTACAGCTGACACATTATTATTTTTTACTTTTAGGCACACTAATAGAAGTTTCAGTATTAATTTTGCGCTAATAGCATCGACAGCACACAGTACCGACGCTTCACTGCCACGCGACCACCAACCGTCCCACAGGAGCTGGGTAGACCGCGATATCGCTCGCGTCTACGCGGATTCGAACCGGCGACCTCAGCAGTACAAGGCAAACGCGCAATCCTTTGGGCCTCCGACCGGTGTAATTGATGTTCAGCGATGTGTCTCATAGAAACTATAGTTGACTATCTAAACCAATGTCGTTACACCTTTGTCTTATTGCCAACTTTTGCTTTTTCCCATCGCTTTTCACTCTCACCTGGGGGACAATTTTTGACCCTACCCGATCCATACTCATGCGCCAAGCATACTTCCTCTCCTATACACGTAGCACCTTATATGCACCTCTTCTAGGAAGAACTAATCCTGAGAGCTTGCTTAGTCACTCATTCAGCACTCAGCACCCACTGTTCTTTTTTACTTGTTTCGCCCTATGTCCTTTCCTTTTATCATGATCTGGCTGTTCTTCACCGCTTATTCTGCTAATTTTCTCCTCTTTTTAGGACCTCGCTTGTCAATACGTAAATCGTGGTTTCTTGCCTCCGGACATGTTTTCTCGCTCCTTTGTAACGGACTGCTCCGGTATCCATACAATGCCACCAAGTACTCAAGGCACTAATACAGTTACCGGATCACCTAACCTTGTCACTACTACGAATCACCACAATGCACACTTTGTATGCCCCTATGAAGTTGCAGTTTCGAACAGTCAGGTTTTAATCAATCAACTCCAATGCCAATCAACGAGCTATGACTTGGAACTCGCCAGGCGCAAACGAGAACTGATACGTCGTTTGCCGTCTCTTCCTGGTCTTTCATCCCAGTCGATGCAAGTGCTCGCGGTACAAACGCAAAGAGTTGCTCGCGCTGATCTTCCATTGGAGGATCGAATCGATGCCATTTCCCTCGTGGCCAATGCGCTCCCAGTGCTGTACTCGAACAACGCAGTTCACGAGAACGGACTGCAACATTCTTTCTGGTCTATCGGAACAGGTGGTGAACCCTATTTGCGACTCTATGAAGCTTGTATGTGCGAGAGCCACTGTCCGATTCCCCTTGCCGCACGACTGAGTCAATTATGCGTTATTCTGGCCGCTTTGGGTGATGGCCGATCTGTGGAGTCTATGGACACTAACTCAGTGGATGCCATTGTCGATTCACATTCTGCTGCCGTTGCATCATATATTACACGACTTTTGCGGAAGCTTATTGCTAAAAACAACCCACAGTACCGCGCCGGAATCCTTGCTCATTTGTCCCGGATGATTTGCTGTCTAGCACATGCCGAACTGAGTCCCTTGGTTCAACATATGTCTCCTAAGCTTTGGTCAGAATTGTTCGCCTGCACGCCTACCGTCCTCTCCAGTTTAGTGCGCCTTGGCGAATCCTTAGATCAACCATCCAACGTTGTACGCCTGGCCCATTTTATTGGTTTAATCGGACGTCGTTTACTTGAAGTCCCATCACTCGATTCATTGGATTCCTGTGCTGATCGATTTTCTGACTTGGCCGACATTCTGGTTGGATGGGGAGTGGACCCCTCCAGTGTCACAAGAGGCATCAGTTTGACGCCCATCTACTTTGAACTTTGTCATGGCCTATCGAATTGGTGGTTACATCCACCCATCTCTCGGCTACGTCCCGTCAAGTCCGAAAAATTCAGCCCGGTCGTAATCAAGAGTATACGTCAGATGATGTTTCATCTCATGGAAGATAGCGAAAGTACCTTGAATACAGCATTTATCGAGTGTTCAACGATTCTTGCCTCAAACCGCCACTCCGTTTCTGGCTCTTCCAAGTCATCTCCAGATCCAACTGGTTTTTTGATAGCTACTAGGTTGTTCTTGTCTGTTCTCAGCAGCGTCGCCACAGGAATCTCTCTCCAACTACTCAATTTTAAAGAATGCTCTTTCAGGTCAGTGCTTCGTCTCTCCTCACAGGAGGTCATCGATTGGGTCGAACGTTTGCTAAGACTAATCAAATCAGCGCATATGTGCCTCCGTTCTTCCTGGCCCAGTTGCCCTATGGTGCTGTGGCCTTCAGTTCAACCCGGCCACTCCGGCGCCCTGCATATCTCCCCGTCACTCGTGGATACTATCGAATCACCTATACTCGATCTGCTCTTTTGTTTCCTCGATCATGACTCATCAGATACTGTTGTCCAGATAATGACCAACTTTTTGAACAGTCGGTTACTAGACTCTGCTGGACGCTTGCCAATGTCCAACTCCACTCTGCTTTCAATGTTACGTCTCGTCCATCGAGTTGTCGAGCGGCTTCCTCTACCAACCGATTACCTGTTGACTTATTTCGGCTCAAATTCTTTGTTGCATACTTGCAAGTTTATCACATCGACCAGTCGAAACCAGGAACCTCCTTCAAGTCTACTTATGCGGACCTTGGTCAGCCTAGTCTCCCTAGACTCTTGTCGAGATGCGTTGAGTCAGTTGGCTCTGTTTGATCTCAAACAAGCTGTAAACCTAGTTGAGACTGCTGAATTCAGCGAACCTACATCAGCGGTGATTGCAGGAAAATGTGAGTCTCTTGGCCTCTTTGGGTTAACGCTGTACTCGACAGTACTGAAGACCTCATCTTCAAAAGCACAATTTTCCATGAGGTGCAAATTGTTTGCCGTCATGCAGCAGAATGGTTTCTCTGTTTGGAATGTTCTTCCCGTTCGCCTTAGAATCGCAATTTTGTCGCTCCTTACTCACGCGTCACTCAACGATGCGCTCTCCCTTGCTGACATTACATATTTGGTGAAAGCCCCAAATACTCAATTGTCTTCCTCTCTGGAACTAGTTCTCATCGCTGACCTCATAAGTGTTGCACTAAACAATTCAGATTTGGGCAACAAAGAAAAAATGGATTATCTGTTCCGTCTACTCGAACTCGCACGCAAGGCATTACTTTCGAATCGCTGCTTGCAGGTGCATCCTACCAGCGTGTTCAACCGTTTCACCAAGATTCTTCTCACACATGGATTTTGTGACCGTACATTCCACAGAAGTTCCCGTTTTACAAGACGGTTAATACAACTAACTCAGCTAGCCTCAACAGTTTGTCATCCAGAAGTTAATAAACTTGCTAGTGATCTTTTACTCGCTCTTGGTACGTCGCGCTTGGCATCGAGCTTTCCCGGTACTCCATCCAACATCTTGCTCTACTACATTGGTCAACGTCCAGATCGTTCGTCTACTTCTCTAGTGATACCCTCGAAAATCGCATCTGACTTGGCTCCCAGCGGTATAGTTGGTTCTGCGAGTGCCTATCCCAGCCTTCCGGCTGTTGCCGGCGTTCTAGGTATCCTGACTCGCGGAGCTCCCTATCATATCCCATGTGTATCCAGTCGCTTGAAACTTCTTGAGCAACCAATCGATTGGATCAGACGCCTGTCATTTCTAATTTCGCCGATTCCTTCAGATTCTGCGTCTGTCATCCGCTTACAGTCTCAAACCGATCGTGTCGGCTCTGTGTTCTGGTATGCCGCATGGACTATGGTGGACTACAAATTGAAAGTTGCTCCATGGGCTAATCCGTTGAAAACTTTTCTCGCATTGGAGGGTGCACTCCGCGCTCTGCTTCAATGTTTCTCCACAGACCAACCTACTTCATGCAGCTCTGTTCCGACGAATGCGGCCGCTGCCAATTTTCACAATTCCTCTGGCCTTTCGCTTGCTAACCAGACTTGGCCCCGGCACTTGAAACAATCCCATTTTCTCATCTTATTCCTGGGCTACTTGGAACGAGTAATCGCCAATGCAACCGCAGGGTTCGCTTTTGCTATCCCTCGCCCCGTCTCACCTGCATGCTCCTTTTTCTCTACCAACGAAGCTACCTGCACACAGTGGTTTAACCGAGTTCGTGGACTCATTGTGCGTATTGCTGGTGCGTGGCCACTAGTTCCATCAACTGGGCTTGGCCTCGCCGTTGAATCTTCGGCCACTGTTGTGTTTCACTTTTACTCTTTATTCAATTCGTCCACGGATGCTAAATCGGCCGATACCAATTGGAGGATAGCTTTCAGTCGATTTTCCGATGATGTACTTATCCACGCTGCTCGGAGTCTGTATCATCTGTCTGCATGGGAAGAATTGTATGCCTTAGCCGAGTAAGTCACTATTTCTCAACCATCTTGTTTATCCTGACTATTCATCTGGCTGTTATCCTCCATGCATTGTTTGAATTTGGCATAGCACACAAACATGCGATGGCTACTTATAACACTGCCCTGTCTATGTCTTATTCACTTTAGCTTCTATCGTTTCACCGCTTGTTATTCTCGATGCTTTGGCAATATCTGCTGTCACGCACTTTTCGGCTGTCGTATTTACCCATTATGGTACCAGCATCGTGTTTCTTATCTTGTGTGCTCTATTTGTACTTGTCAATTTGCTTCGATGCTGACATGAGAGTTTGTCGACAACTTCCTCGCATTCAGGCACACGCTCAATTCTCTATTTCGCATTCTTTGTTACACTGTCTGTTTGGCCTTTGAGGTAATCACATATGCATGCATATGACTAACGTATCCGATTGAATGAATATCGAAAGAAACCTGCAACACACAGAGCTTCGCTGCTCTAGTCGGTCGTGTTGGGCTGTTTCAACATGATCTTCCAATCATTCACGACGTACTGTTTTATGAATAGGCGAGGTAGAAGTACACCGAGTGAAAATAAGTTTAGTCCGACTGAATAGACTGAAACTAACTAAACTCAGTGATAAATAACAATACGAAAGTGATTGTGAGTTATACTTCATGTATGTGAGCTATATATTGTGCCTCATGCTGAGGTTGATGTTGCATTCATGATGCTACTTCACCGCAGTTGGGCTAAACCAACTTACACTTAATCTAGGTCTTTTTTATCTGAATAGAAGTCATTTCACTTTATTTGGTTTGTTCAATTCTGTTACCCTGCTGTCTATTCGGTGTCAATTTTGCGTGTTTGTTTTCCATCAAACTCTGTTAGTTGTTTGATATCCCCTGTGTGGCTGCGCTTGAGGTGAATGTTGACAAGGTGCCTACCTGTCTAACACCATCCACCTCGATTACTGGCTCCAGAAGACTGTGAATGTTTGTTGGGGGGTGGTGCGAGGACGGAATGCACAGTCCTCGTTGCCGTGCTAGGCTGAGAGTGGTTCTATCCAGAGTGGAGCGGACCACGGTCCAGCCACCGTCGTGTGTACGTCTGGTACACATGATTCCCACCATGAATAGACAGAAATGCTTCTTTTCTGCTTGTTGAAGGAGTGTGGACCGGCTCCGTTTATCAAACCTGGCTCCCAATCACATGTCTTCGGGTTTCCACTGGATATGGGTGCGTGAATGGAGCTGTGGGTGGTGCAGCGCAAGCCACTTACGGTCCCTCTATAGGCGCAGGCATCCTATTGCTGTCCTATGGCGACCACAGTGACAGGCAAATCCGGAACCGGGTGCCGCCAATCATAAGGGTTATGTTATTTTCCCCGACCTGGTGTTTTTGAACAGGGAAGTAAGTCCATAATTCTATACCTCGCGGTTACGCGAACAGTAAACACGCGTTCTTTGTTGTTGATCGTAAAGATGTGAAAGGTCAGGTGAGCAAGGGACCAGTCGGTGCTACGTGAGTACCCGTTGCCGTATGAGTGGTTATTACGTTAGGAGGTCTGTGTGAAGCGGAGTAGAAGAATCACTGGATTGACGCAGTCCTCATGGTGCCAGGTTGTGCAGGGACAGTGTTTTCCTTTCCATCGGGAAATCGAACGTTATTGTACTGGAGATTACAATCCAATAGGTCAGCCGCATGCCCTAGCGGCTCGTGTTTTGAGAATCTCACATTACGACGCAGCAAGACGGGTCCTGGCACACAGCCAATTCGGTAACGAGACTCCTGATGTCGATTTACGGTTGTAGCAGAAAATTCCTTCTTGTGTGTGGTGTTTGTGGCGGTGCAAAAGAAGACGAATTGAATGTAGAGCATCTAGAAAGGCGCTTTCCTACCGAGTTCTTGCGAGATCTGAGTGCTAAAGTAATCCATTTCCAAATGACTCCACTAATCCACTACTTGCCCATTATTTTGGGGCTTGTATCTCGTCCTCGGTTGATTGCAGTGCCTTTTCACCCGAGAAAATGTCGCACTTTTTGAAGTATGAAGGATGAACCGCTATCAGAATGGAGGTAGTGCATCATACCGATGATGAGAGAAGTTGGGTTAAACAATTATTCACGGCTGAGGCTGTCATGTCACTACACGCAGAAGCAAATTGGAATCTAGGAAATTCATCGATGATGACGAACAGATATTTCTTGTTGCTGAGGGTGAAGTACCCTTGAAATATATGTACTCTTTCAAAAGGTGTGTCGCTTTGATGAGTGTTCCGAATGGCCTTTAGCACGGGGTTCAGTTCGGCATACACACTGCAGCGAGGTGTCATTGATTTCACTTCTTCAACTGAGGAGGGTAGATTCTGTAAACGAATCAGATGGAACATACTTGTCCCCCTTGGGTGACACAGTGTCTCATGCAGTTCCTAGAGTATCATCGTATGTGACTGACGGACATCGGCTGTATGCCGCGCCAACACCACCAGTCGCGCGTAGCCTAAGTACACCGCGAGGACGCCCGCCCAAATGCTGGCTTGCCGAACCACCTCCTCGTGCTGCCAGCTTGGTGGTTCAGGCTTATACCGTTCCAGCGAAAGCTTCGGCAGCAGTGTTCCAGGACGTGGTGAATTTTCGCCTGGCAATTGTTCTCCCTATAAAAAGCCATATATGTCCGTTTAACAACGACGTGCCGTATATAACTCGCCACTAAATATACTCACTGCCCCTTGCTTCACCTCGCTAGAGCATTGTAGTCTTTCAGCTTGCCGCTGAATTACTGTGAATATTTGGCCCCTGTTTGGTAAACAACCAAACGAAAGGCGTATGAATCGAGTAATCGGTCACCGGCTCTCAACAGACGCGATTCTCTGAATTCACCCTTCAGCCTTGCGGGTCAGGTCCCTATGACCAGAGGCTCCGGGTGGGGCCCCTAAGTCAACCCCCTTCCTCGGGCTGGGCAACCGCGAAGTTGTATGCCCACAAAACATGAACTGATGAATTTACGACTCTCTGTTCACGTTTCTCGCTCTTTGAACTCTATTTGGCTTTGGGTGCTGGCGGCCGGGCATGCTAAATCTCACTCTACCGCACCGCAAACCACGTTCTTCGTTTCACGTTTATTCGACCCTCCTGTTCCTGGCATTCCTCTCTCATTTCGAATCACCCAAAGTACATTGCAAATAAAAATGATACCTTTGGCCTCATCAATGAAACGCTCAAAACCGATCGCATACATTCCACTAACAACAGTAGGGCTTTTATTGCACCCCGCTCGCTCTTCAAGATAGTTACGTTCAATGTTCGAACGCTCATGCAGGTTGGTTCACAAGCTGCTCTTGCGCGAACCTTGGAAACCCACTCAATCGACGTTTGCTGTCTAACCGAAACCTGTGTACCAGACTCCAGCATAAAGCTGCGATTGTCATCACCCTCCCCAAGTTCCAATTACACATTCCCCTTGCGCTTACCTGGAGATGCGATAGCGGTAGCCTCTGGTTGCGCGGGCGTAGGAGTTTCGTTAAGCGCGCGTGCTGAAGCAGCGCTCATTGACTGGTTCCCGGTCAACAGTCTTCTTTGTATAGTCCGTTTGGAAAGCTCAGTGCGATTTGCCAGCCACGAGACCAGTAGGCGCTGCTTATTCATTGTGGCGGCATACGCTCCAACTGACTGTAGCCCGGACGAAGCTAAAGACGAGTTCTACTGCCAACTCACTGACCTCCTCCACAAGAAACGCCGCACGGACATCGTGATACTCGCCGGTGACCCAGGTGCGCAGGTCGGTAGACTAGAGGTTCATGAGTGCGAACTTGACGGTCAACACAGCCACGGTACTCGCAGGACGGACAACGGCGATCGACTTCTGCAATTGTGCGGCGACCAGGGTTTGTTCATCTCCAGCACCAATTTCCAACGTTTCTGGCGCCAACGAGCCACCTGGAGACTTCCGGCGCCTGGCCAATCTTGAAATAGGATTGACCACATCGCTGTTAGTTACCGTTGGCGAGGCTACATAACGGACTGCAAGTCAATATGGAACACTTACCTGACTTCGGATGATGCGCTCGTGCATGCTAAGTTCGCTCTGCGTTTTGGAGGCACCCAACTGCGTTGCCGAAAACGGTCTGACACAGGCAACCTCGCCGTTCCAAATGTCCTCGGCGCATTTCAAAACGCATTAGCCTCCAAGCTACGTTCTCTAGCCTCCAATCTGGAGACACATTGGGTACAGATCCAGAGCGCCTTACGAAAGTCCGCTACCCAGGTAAGTGGCCACACTAGACGAGCTATTAGTCATTGGATTTCCGCATAGTCTCTCCAATTAAAGGAAAGTCGTCGAACAATGCCCGCACTACACAGAACCACAGGTGCTGAGCTCAGACAGCTCCTCAGGAAGGATCGCGAGGTTTGCTAGACACGTCGCGTCGGTGAGAAGAAACGGGCAGCCTCGTCAGAAAACTCCCGCAAACTCTTCCAACTTATTCGTTCCACGGGAGGCAGAAGGCCACACACTGGCCTGCTTGACGTCGCTTCCCACTTACACTTGCGCTCGCAAATAGGGCCCGTCGTGCTAGCCGCTGGATAGGCATTCGAACCACATGGTCAAGCAAGCGAAGCCTTTGCAGTGAGATGATGCTATCAAGCGATCGGCAGAATTCGTTAGATCTGAAGACCCACCGACGAACTTCCTCATTACTTATGTGATGCTGTCATCGAACACTAGCAATGCTTCGCAGGCAGTGGTGATCGATGACGGATAGCCGCTGAGCATTGCTTTTGCGAACGGGCCAAGTCTCACAGCCGTAATGCAGAATCGCTCATATCGTAGGATTGTAGACTCGTCCATTGCGAGTGAGGGTGAGGTCACGACGAAACTATAGGTGACGGTTAGCGAAAGCGATTCTAGCCTTGGAGACACGCAGGGAAATCTCGTCAGTCAAACGGCCAATACTAAGACAGCTCCCAAGGTAAATGAATTTGTCGACCACTTTCAATGGATGCCCCAACAGGGTGAGAGAATGACATGCACTTGGCCAGTTCTGTAGCAGGACCTTACAGGGGCAAATGTCAACCCAAATTGGGAGGTGGACATCTTCAGTCTATGCAGCACATGCTGAACGGTTTGAGAGGACTCGTAAATAACAGCGATGCTATCGGCATACGCTAAGTCCCAAAGGCGGTCACCAGGGGCCAGTTCAACGCCGCAGAACTCATGAGGTTTCTAGGGCAGTATCCAGGATTTCGTCCATGGCAAAGTTGAACAAGAATGGAGAGGCTGGGCAACCCTGTCCAACACCGCTAGTGATACTGAAAGGGGGCGAAATGTCTCCGTATACTCGCACACGGCCCGAAGTTTGATTGTAACTGGTACGGAGAATATTAACACATTCCTTTGGTACTCCCCTCTTCAGTAAGCAGTCGCAAAGAGCCACTCTTTCAACAGAGTCAAATGCGGCTCGAATGTCCAGGATTAGGACTATGGTTGGTTGACTGAATGTATGGCGATGTTCAAGTATCTGGTAGATCGTAAAGATGTGATCAACGCAACTGCGACCCGGGCGAAATCTAGCTTGTGGTTAACGCAGGTGCTGTTCCTGTACGCAACTGAGCCTCTGCAAGAGTAGGGCAACGAGCAGTTTGGATGCGACACAAGTGTGATTGATGCCACGATGGCTGGAGCAAATGGTCCGGTCTCCATTTTCTGTAAACAGGTATAACATCTGCTAAATTCCAGTTGGATGGAATGATTTCAGTACTCCAAATCTGATGGAATAGAGATGTCAGTTCGTGAGTGAGAACAGGACCCACATATTAGAAGAGTGCAGGAGGAAGTTCATCTGGGCCAGGTGACTCGTGGCGCTTAACTAGGCGAAGATCATAGGAAACCTCAGCCTCAATCGGTGGGGAAACATCCACGCACCAGGAAGCACTGTGAACCCCAGAAGATAGACTCGGTTGCGCTGCTAGCCAGTTGGATTGCTCTTCAAAGTGTTCTGTCCATCGTACCAGACGATGGTGGCGACTGTGAAATAGTTCATTGTTATTTTCACACAAAACCTCACTCACTGTTGGCCTTCTGACTCCCGTGGAACGAATAAGTTGGAAGAGTTTGCGGGAGTTTTCTGACGAGGCTGCCCGTTTCATCTCACCGACGCGATGTGTCTAGCAAACCTCGCGATCCTTCCTGAGGAGCTGTCTGAGCTCAGCACCTGTGGTTCTGTGTAGTGCGTGAATGGTTCCCTGACTTTCCATTAATCGGAGAGACTGTGCGGAGATCCAATGATTGTTAGCTCGTCTAGTGCAGCCACAGACCAGGCACCTAGGCACCTTGTCAACATGTAATTCAAGCGCGGCCACACCGTGGATGTCAAGCAACAGCCAATCACTTGAAACGACACGATGAAATAAAATAAATTGAATAATGCATACAGATACGGTGATATAACTCTTCGCTAAATTAGCATATGAAGTAAGTTGGTTAGCAAGTCACAAAAACGCTACAAACGCAACAAAGTTACGGAAGATAAGCGCAGTTAGTGTAAGCAACGTGGCCAGTTAATAGAAGATTATCCAGGTAAGCAGAACAAAACGGTTCATGTAACATTTCGGACAAGCCTTTATGGTTGGCGGCATCCGGTTTCGGATTTGCCTGTCACTGTGGCCAGCCACAGGTTGCCTGCGCCTACAGAGGAACCATGGGTGGCTTGCGCTGCACCACCCACAGCTCCAACCACACACCCCATATCCAGTGTAAACCCGAAGGAATAAGACAAGGAGGCATGTGGATGGGAGCCACGTTTCATCAACGGAGCCGGCCCACACTCCTTCACAGGCAAACACAAGCACACTGTATTTGGGGAATCAAGCGCACACAAGGCGGTGGCTGGACCGTAGTCCGCTCCACACTGAGTGCATGAAACCACGCTTTAATCCTAACACGGCGACAATGACCATGCACCCCGTCCCCTCCAGCAACGACCAACTGGAGCCAGTATGGACGAGGTAGTGGGTAATAGACAGGTAGGCACCTTGTCAACATGCACATCAAGCGCAGTCACACCGGGGATATCATGCAACAGCTAATCACTTGAAACGACAAAAGGAAATAAAATTAATCGAATAATGCATACAGATACGGTGATATAATTCTTCGATAAATTACCATATGAAGTAAGTTGGTTTGCAATGAATCCGCGATAAGGAAAAAATGTCCACAAGTTACTCAAACATGCTGCAAACGCAACAAACTTACCGAAACTAAGCGCAATTAGCGTAAGCAACGGAGCCAGCTTATAGAAGTTTATTCAGATAGGCAAAACTAACTAAATAAACTGGAATGAAATTTATGCAGCTTAAAGAGACCTAGTTTAGGTGTAAGTTGATTTAGCCCAACTGCGGTGAAGAAGCATCAAGAATGCAACATCAGCTTCAGCATAGGGCCACAAGCCTTTATATATATATATATACATATATATATATATATATATATATTCTTTTTTCTTCTTTCTTTTCTTTGTCTCTCTCTGTTAGTCGTTGCTGGAGGGGACGGGGTGTACGGTCCTTGTGGCCGTGTTAGGTTCGAAGAGTGGTTCCATGCACTGAGTATGGAGCGGACTACGGTCCAGCCACCGCATTGTGTGCGCTTGATTCCCAAATACAGTATGCTTGTGTTTGCTGTGAAGGAGTGTGGACCGGCTCCGTTGATGAAACCTGGTTCCCATCCGCATACCTCCCGGTCTTATTCCTTCGGGTTTACACTGGATATGGGGTGTGTGGTTGGAGGTGTGAGTGGTGCAGCGCAAGCCATCCATGGTCCCTCTGTAGGCGCAGGCGTCCTGTGGCTTGCCACAGTGACAGGCAAATCCGAAACCGGATGCCGCCAACCATGTATGTATGTATTTCTTGATGCGTTTCTTGATGCTTCTTCACCGCAGTTGGGCTAAACCAACTTACACTTAAACTAGGTCTTTTTAAGCTGCATAAATTTCATTCCCCTTTATTTGGTTTGTTTTGCCTAACTGAATAATCTTCTATAAACCGTTCACGTTGCTCACGCTAATTGCGCTTATCTTTGGTAACTTAGTTGCGTTTGTAGCATTTTGGAGTAACTTGTGGACATTTCTTACTTATCACGGACTCATTGCTAACCAACTTACTTCATATGGTATTTTAGCGAAGAGTAATGCCACTGTGTCTGTATGCATTATGTGGATTTATTTTATTTCAGCTTGTCGTTTCAAGTGAATGGCTGTTGCTTGATATCCCCGGTGTGACTGCGCTTGATTTGCATGTTGACAAGGTGCCTACCTGTCTATTACCCACTACCTCGTCCATACTGGCTCCAGTTGGTCGTTGCTGGAGGGGGCTGGTTGCACGGTTCTTGTGGTCGTGCCAGGCTCGAAGAGTGGTTCCATGCAGTCAGTGTGGATTGCACTACATTCCAGCCACCGTCTTGTGTGCGCTTGTTTCCCCAACTACAGTGTGTTTGTGTTTGCCTGTGAAGGAGTGTGGGTCGGCTCCGTTGATGGAACGTGGTTCCCATCCGCATGCCTCCCGGTCTTATTCCTTCGGATTTAAACTGGATATGGGATGTGTGATTGGTGCTGTGGGTGGTGCAGCACAAGCCACCCATGGTCCCTCTGTAGGTGCAGGCGTCCTGTGGCTTGCCACAGTAACAAGCAAGTCCGAAACCTGATGCCGCCAATCATGTGTTGTACGTCCCATACTACAACAACGAGGAATGGTTTATAATCTCCAACATATATCCCAGGACTACCTTCACGGCACATGGTTAAGCTGATGTTGCACCCACAGTAATTATTCTCAGCATAGCTGGAAGCCAGTTTTTGACCACAGAAGTAATGTCCAGCGTCAACTAACCACAGCACCATAGGATTGCTTTGTGCAATCGAAACGGCCGTGTTTGCTTTTACTTTGAACATACCACAGTCTCTCTATCAACTCGTGTTCGCCAATCTTTGCGCACTTGCGAGGACAGGTACGTCAGATCTGATAAACATTTCCCACTGTTTCGCACTGTGTACCAGTTACTCAGATGCCGGAATGTGACAAACACATTACAACACTCCCTTGTGCGATGGGCTCTGGGTAGCTACAAGCTATCATTCATTCCGAAATGGGCCACCCAAAATGTCGTTAACGTCGTATCCTCTGTTTTCGCCGCTAGTCCTCTCTGTCTTTCTGCTTCAACCAAGCAGGCGATTCGAAATCACTCAATCAGTTTAACGATCGTCGAACCATACTGTTGGTCAGTTTCTGTAGTTTATGTCACGTTCACGCGCTTTACTTCTCTGCAATGCCTACCCAACGCAAATCCTGAGTCACTGGATCCAAATGACGATAATGTATCCGCCATCGCAGTGTTTGCCATCTTGCTCGCTGACTCTTCTCCGAATTACTGCGTTGCTTCACAATACCGTCTGTCAGTCGGTGGCCAAAAAGACAAGGGGCGTAAATTGTAATCCCCGATTCGAGTCGATTTAGTTGCGATTGGCCTCGCAGTGTCCTCGGTGCTGGTCACATGACATTGAACCATTTGTACTGTGTACCTTCGTGTTTCTTCTGTCTGTCACAACGTTGTAAAGGAAAACTACCCACTTCACTCGGATATTGATTGTAGGTAACAGTTACGCTGTGATCTCGCACTGCATCTCTTCTAGTGAGTTTATCTGCACTTCACTGTGTTGAACTAGTAAGTTGCACCAAACTAGTCTGAAGTGCAGTAGTAATACTCTTGTTTCGTTACTCTAATTCCCGTTCAGCATACTGTTATTACTATTTCGAGTTCATACTATCCGGCCTGTGCAAATCACACTTATCGTCACCTCTCTAGCAACATCTTCCTGATTCTTGCCACCTTTTACCATCAGTTGGGCCGGTGAGTGGGCGACTTCGGACACAAACATGTTCAACCCCTTCGGGTGGCTAACTGGCCTTGGTTATTTGGCCCGCGGGTACTGGGACGATGGATTGAAGACTTTGCGTGAGTTTATCACCACATGGATCGACCTAAGATCGTCGTTGCCTCTCGCTGACTACCAAGCACTTCTAAATGGACGCACTGAGACCAATCTTGCCTATGCCACCGAACTTCTTCTCCGCTGCTATTTGGATGAGGGTAACTATAAGGCTGCTTCGGAACTGCAACACACTCTGCAACCGACCGATAACCAACCTCTCCCAGATGCTCTCCGATCTACCATTCGCATCAATTGGGCACGTTTGGATTGCTTTTCCAAGTTATCCAGGTACCCATTACTACGATTTTTTGATTGCTTTCAATATATTCTATTGTACTTAATACTGTACCATACGCTGTCCGATTCCTAGATGGGCCGATCGCATCGCTTTCGTTGAGATTATTTTCAAAAACTATCCCCTTCGTTGCGAAGTACTTTTGTGTCGCTGCACTGGTTACACTTGCACTTTTATGCCGAAACTGGATTCAATGCAGCTTAGCACTGTTGTTGGTGTCACTGGGACATTACTGTTCTCGCTCGGCATAAGCTTATATTGAGTAGCGAATACCACCCCTCAGTTCGGATCGTCTGCTACATATGTTTGCCCAACCTTTCTTACTCTTTGTCAAGCAGTGTTCTCTGGTGCTCGTGCGATCAAGTAACAACTGAACCCATCAAACCGCCTCTCGAACTCGGTCATACTGTTGAAGTCTTCCCAATAAGTCTTCGATTACGTCTGCATCCTCGGTCGCTTTCCTATACTCTCCAGTCTGTTTAAACTACAGTTATCACCTATAACCGCTGTCTAGTATGTTTTTAACGTCTAATAGGCCTCACGCAGACCTCATGAATGCTCACCTCTCACATTTTATCCCCTGATACAAATGTATCATTTGAGTTCACGTAGATAAAGTAGGAGCTATCGTCATATCTGTCTCAACTTCATGGTTGGCGTTGAAGATGTGCGTGGTAAAAATCAGCAGAGGCTGTCTCATCGATGCCGTCTTCACACGCTAGCCAACTTTTTGTGATCATATGGTTTCCGCAACACGTGAACGCATTAACGTTGAATGTGTAGCCCTCGACTAATCTCCCTTTCATCGGTTCCTTATACTCCATTTCTACACTCGTCTCACTTCTTGGTTGTATAGCAATGAGTCACAAATACGAATTACTGGTGGATCAATGTCGACCATGCTTATAACGCGCAGCGATCATTCTTTCCCCTGTCATCACAAGGATCTCTTCTCGCTCTAGTTAACCTTCCTTTGTATGACCACTTATGTCCGACTGGGGAATGTTACATGACTGTATCACATGTGCTGTTGTAATGTGTCCTGTTTGTTGGAGGAATTTTCCCGTTATTCACAGGGGTGTTTAGAGTTCTTCTTGCTCTTCGAGTCTGATTGTACTCTTGCTCGCTGTTATTTTTCCCATTGACATTTCGCTTTGTACCTGTCACTTTTCACCATTTGATCAACTGATTGTCTCATCCTAAACTGCTTAGTTTATGTGAACTGCGAAGAAACACGATTCCTCTCTTTGACGAATGTATTCTCATATGAGATTAAGCCTGTTCAGTGTATCTAGACACATCACAGCGTATCTTATGTGATCGTACGTGGCATTGATCATCCCTGATCTTCACAAGCCTTATTCGACATTTTTCATGCGATTGATCCTTTAAGTTGACCACCACCGCTGCTCTGTAACTCATCATTAAAATGGCCGCAGCAACTCGATACTGAATCGGTTTCCTCACCAATCTCATCGTCACCCCATATGTTCACTCTTTTCACCCTTTCTGTTTCCTAGTTGGACCGATTTATCCCACGTGGAGACGCAAGCACTCCCTAAAAGTGACCTGACTACTTGGCCCAGCCGCACATTCCCTTCGACGCTCGATACTCTCCTTGCCGAGGCAGCTGTAGCTCACCGACACATGCCGTTTGGTGACGTGTTGTCTGCCAAGTTGCAGAAATTAGTCACTCATATACGTCAGGCATCTACCGCTATGTACACTTCTTCGTGTATTGGATATCCCTGTGTTTCCGACGTTCATGCCCATGGTGATGATGGCTTGTGCTCCTGGTTGACTCTTGCTGATATTTTACTAAAATCTCGGACGCAAGACATAGAAGACTGCGACTTGGCTGGAGAACCTGCTAATTTTGTTGCCGTGTCTTCTTGGTGCCATCTGTTATCCGGTCGTCAATTGCGTATCAATTCTGCCAACATCAGCTTGCAATCATGTCGCTGGGCTTTATCCAGACAAAGCCCCGCACTTGCACAACGCCTGCTTCTTCGAGAAAGCCACAATTTAGTCCCAAATGGCTCACCAAATGCCAATCAACCTGACCTTCGTTCAATCTATAACTTGACTCGAACGAATTCGTTTTGTGAGACAGAGCGGCTATCACAGCTACAGCGACTTCGGTTTTCCAGCTGCCTAGCTGAGTTGCTTTGGCTTAATGACCAGTCAAGTGGTGATGCTTGTGCAGTTTCTGATAACAAACTGGCTGCCATCGATGTTCTCTGTAGAGGCCTTAGGACCGCACTGCTAGACGAAGTTACTCAGGATACGCGTCAACATGCTACTCGATGCAAAATGTCGGTTGAGGTTTCTTTTCGTTTGTTCGAATGGTTAAACGAAGCGTCCACCGAGTCAGCTATGTCTTGGGCTGATGTCGTTCATCGCCAAGCGTCGGAGCAGACCATGTCATCTAAGGTTAGTTTTTACTTCAACCGTTTGCTCTTTTAAGCTGTCTTCTAAGTAATTTAATGAACCGTTTTCGTTCCGTCACAATTTCTCGTTTCTATGGTTATAATACTACTGAAACGTTTTTCACCGGTCTGGACATTGGTAATGTTTGTAGTTATTCGTCCACTGAATTTCTGTTGGGTACATTTAAGAACAGCCCGTTTCTAACCGGTAGTGTACACCGATTTGACGCCTACCCGATCAAGCACAGTGTCGAGGTGTTGTATACACCCTGAAACTAGTCCAATGATGATGAAATCATTTCCCGCCCTTCAATGAACCTACGGCAGTCTTGCAGACGTCTTCCCTGTTTGATCTTCTCAATCTGGGCGATCAAACCATGTGGAAGACTTTTTCCTGGTTTAATTGAAACCATCCCGATCGATGTTTACCTTGTTCACTACATCAGCGATAGCGTGAGAATTACTAATATAGGTGGTTCCCTATCACTCTCAATCTTTGACGCCTCGTTCAGTGGAGGTTGTGCAGGCGCACACATGGCGTCGCTGTCGCTACAGCTGCGTCTGCATCTGCAACTCTAAATTAAAGTGCGCCATCTATAACTGATGGCGAAATGTCTGTCCTAATCCCCTAGCGAGCGACGAGCGCCCCTTGCCTTGAGATTCTATGCCTACTCACAGCTATGGAAAACAGTCGCCGCTGTTGTTATAACTAGTATCAACCCCCGACTGCCTTTTTACACAGCATTCGGACTCCTAGGGGCCGCGGAATCGCGCATCATCGATACACGTTAGCTGAGGGTGAGGAACACAGCTCAGCTATTGTGTTGCAATACAAAAAGTACGCTACTAAACATTACTGAATATAATGACTAAAAACAAGTAATATCGTGCTGCGTATGTTTACTACGAAATGGGAGGTCGTGGCATGAGAGGGGAGCGAAACGGAAAGGAGGATAACGAAGCTCACAACACGTTAATGCAATCAGCTTCTAGCCACGTCAACAAGTATATCCAGCCTAGCGTGTTCCTGGTACTTCTGACCCCATTTCGGCAGTCGGGAGTCACCAACCGTCGCCAACTTTGAAGTGTGTGTGTTCTCATTCCTTTTGATCAATTTATCGCTTGGCCTTCCTCTTCTTCCACTCAGACCCCCAGCGCGCAAACAGCGCACATCGCAGGAATCGGTGTGCTGGTATGCGCAACTTGTGGCCCAATCATCGAAACGTCGTGCAGGAAATAACCGTGCTGAGCGGTTCACTCGCTCTTCCTGCACCAAATACACGACGCTAAACGCGCTCATTGCTCACACGGTGTTCCCACCAGACACGAGCTAAGCTGCGAGGACAGCGATGGTCGAACGTAGCCATTTTCTTTATGTCTGTCGACTTAATGGGCCAGGTTTCGCAATCGTACAGGAGGGTTTAATGGATGGCCGCGTTGTAAACCCTGCTCTTCAGGGCGAGAGTGATGTCGCACCGGCGTCACATGTGACGGACATTGGCATTGCACTGCGTGCTTTTGCTATACGGTTCGTAATCTCATCTACTGTTCCACCGGCACTATTATAGCTGCCGAGACACTTGAATTTCTTGACGACTTCTAACTGATCGTCACCAAGCGTCAGCGCAGGAAGCGTCCCTTGTCAATCTTTGAGAAGGACTGCATTTCCAGGGTGCAAAACGTAGCCTGAAACGATTAACAGCCAATGATAGTTTGTCCATTGCTACTTGGTACGTATAAAGATGTCACAGATTAGTAGGTCGTGTCCAGCGAACGTCGTTTCTATGACTCCGCCAATGACGACGTTAAAGAGAAATGATAACAGCGGGCAACCTTATCTTACCTCGCTGGAGATATTGAAGGGCGGCGACAGTTTGCCGTAAAGCCCCCCTCTACCCGATATATGTGCTTTTATGACAGTCACACATTTATCGGATACGTCTTTCCCACAGTTCTAAATAGCACATCGATCCACCTAATCGAAGCAACCTTTAATGTCTTGGAATACGACTACTGTGGGTCGCCAATAAATATGTCGTTGTTCCTACAATTGGCGTAAAGTGAAGAGGTAATCAAAGCAGTCTCGGTTTCGACGAAACCCGGCTTGCTCCCCGCGTATCTGGCTCCCACGATTACCAGTCATTGTATCACCTAATTGCCTAGGCAACCATTCAGGGCTATGGCACCTGCATCTTGTCACCAACGTGCGGTCAAGAACATTTGTATATTATGCAAAGATAAGGGGACATCGGTGAGACAGCTTCCTTGTGGCTCTCATTGTCGTGCGTCATAATCAACCACTACCCCACAGATAACACAGCACCAGGCGCAATCTAATCAGGCAACCGGACTATGAGACGATAACAGACGCGCCACTGTTGCTAACTACGAGCCATGACCTGTAACGTCTCGAGCCAAATGTAAGGCGAGTTGCGCTAACTCTAGTTTGGAAAGCGAGACGGAGCAGTGGTGCATAGTTTGCTAGTCAATGCACTCGTTTCTTTTTACCAAGTCTCTTTGCCCACATCAGGCGTACATAGTGCGTGTCAAAGCCAACGCAACTTATACTGTATTATTCTTTTTTTGTGAACCTAATATCCGTCTTCGTTGCAAACATGCTGGTGACATACAGAACACTTTACGTGAAAACGGTTATCCAGATAGATTTATCGTAAGGAACTTCCAAGAAACACCCAGACCGGTGCCAGTATTAACAGCACTAAGGAAGAGTTATTCGCTTACCATTCAAAGGGGACGCGGCTACCGAGCGTCTAACCAGAAGCCTTTCGGCTGCGGTAAAGTCGACCTTTCCAGCAGCCTCGTTGAAGTGCGTGTTCTCAACGGAACCGCTCATTCGTTCACAAAACAAAGACAAGATGCCGTTGCTGACCACATCAATGGTTAATTTATCAATTCGTGTGCGCCTGTGGCGCAACGTATATTGGTCGAACTGCGCGGCAGTTATCCAAACGCGTGAACGAACATTGCCCTCGTTGGCTGCGTCAAGGGGCACCGGTACCATTAGTAGCGCCATTCTGGCCCACCTTGTGGACACCGGCCATGAGGTGGATTGGAAACGCGCTTTCCGAATAGTTTACAAGGTTTCGCTGCACCGAACGAAAGGTTACCGCCTTCGTACGATTGCGACTGCTGAAGCAATATGCATTCGATTGTTCCAGCCGTCCTTATGCTCACAGAAGAAGCTGATCCAGGCTCTCCAGCTTTCCTGGTCAGTGAAGAGGGAAGACGCCCAGGTCGACTGCCTTCGGTCAGACGCGGTAGCAAACAACTAGCCCTCTAAGACCTAATTCGTTTTCTCAACTCTGACATAGACCTTCACGTGATCAAGTCGTTTTGAACTAACTGGGTCGATTTCTCTTTCTAGCCTCCATATGATTGTAATGGTCTGATGATGAATCATTGAAAGCAATTCCTCACCAGATAGTCTTTTGTTCTAAAGACATCCGACATCAGCATTGCTCTGCAGGTAACAATGACCATAGACTTCAAGGCGCTTCAGATCTTCCGATTGAAGACACCAAGTCTCACTCTGACGGATTAGCATTACCCTTTCTGTGGTCTTGTACACATGGACTGTCAAACAAAGCGGGGAATCTCTTTCGGACGCCACAGACGTCGCGGGTTCAAGTAGGCGGTCCTAATTTTCGTAATACAGGAACTAACTTCCGTACTCATGCGTTCATCGCTGTGGATACAACTGCCAAAATAGGCGGATTTGTTGTGAATTACCTCCAGTCGCTTCGCTATCAAGAGTCAAAGGATAGTCTAAGGACTGGTCGTCCTGCGACAGCACTTTACACTTTGATGCTACGAAACACCTGCCAACTAATAGGGCTACTCTACTTTTGACTGGGCCACCCCAAAACCATCAAAACGCAAGATACTATCTTTCGCATAATCAAAGTCGACTTGTCTTCCGCCAGGTAACAATTTGATGCATGCATCGTGAGATTCCGCAAGGGAACACTCCATAGTGGAGTCCACGACGAAGTTGAGCAAAAATGGGGAAATGCGGCAACGCTGGAGAACGCCAATTATTGTCAGAAATACATTCAACAAACCACCGTAGTCCCTGACGCGACCTATAGTGTCCAACAGGGCATATAAAATGGTCGAACAGAATGGACCGATCCACTGAGTCGAACGCATTTCGGAAGTCTAGGAATAGCTATTGTCTTCGTTACGTGTGAGGCTATTCTAGCACCTGCAGTATTGTGAAGGCATGGTCTATACAGCCCCGTCTTAGGTGGGAACCTGCCTGTTCTTCCCTAGCCCGGTATTCCTGTTCCACAATGAGGCGACGAACAAGACATGAGGCTATTATTTCTGTCACTATCGGCAATACCCTGTGGTTAGCACAGTCGGTGCGAATGCCCTCACTGTGTATTGTCACTATGCTCGATTCATTCCAGTTGGCTAGTATGTTCTCTTTTTTCCACACCTGTTCGAATAGGGGGATCAATACGTTGCAGAAGACTTTGCCACTTAGTGCGAATTCAAGGGAATCCGAACCAGCAACCCGAAAACGACTGGAAACTGTGATCCCGTTTCGGATCTCAGCCTCAGATGAAGTCTCTAGGCTAACATACCATAGTTCACTGCACGCTATGATGTCCAGGTGCAAGGTGCCAATTGAGCTGTTCTCGAAAGTGATCCACCCGAGTCAGACTACAATCTTTATTGTGAATTAGGGCATCCGTGCTGTCTGCTTGTCTAACTGTCGCATGGGTTCCTGGAATCAATGGTATGAATCAGTTGGGAGAGCTTGTGACAACTGATCCAGCACGCTTCCTTGTCAGTACGCAGACTCCTCTTTAGTCCACGCCTATAAGTCCTTCTGATTACATTATGCTCAAAGCCAGTAGGGAATTTTTCTGGATCCTAGTAGGAACCTCGGAAATCAATTAGCTGGTACGGTGGCAGCATCTGGTGCCGCAAACGGAAGCTCCCGTGTCTTTTTGATAGCCGAGATTCTGCTCCACTGAAGCTCACTGCCCTTGGAGTGAGAAAGTAGATGTTCGGTACGCAAGGCACCCTGGTAGGTTTACCTGATCAAGGGTTGAGATAACTTATTGCTCATCAAAAGAGGTACTTGGTGAGCCTCCAGGACAACATGATACCGAAGCGTAATCAAAGTCGACACACGTTCTAGAACGAGTGGTAGTCCAGGATGGAATCAAGTTACCTGAAACTTAGCCACTCGGCAGCAACTGACTTTTCTACCTGAAACTTAGTTGATGTGATCCAATTGGGTTCATCCCTAGACAGCTATAGGAGGATGCCAGGTGGCACTTCTACGCCCACTGTGCGTAAAAGGGCTGTTGCCGAGACATAGCCGGTGATCCGCTCACAGTCACAACAGATGCTCGCCATTGTCGTCCGTTCGATCAGTGGGAAGACCATATATGAGCTTCTGAGGAGCTCAGATGATCTACTTGTGAATCCATGTCTCGTGTAACGGCGACGATATCTAAACTAGTAAAGCTGAAGGGCAGCGTGTCAAGACCTTGACAACATCAAAGCTGCAGTAGGGGTGGGCATAAGCGGCAACAACAAACAAACGGCGTGAATTAATTCAAGTTGATGTACTCACAGGGGCTGCACACAAACCGATACTCACGAGAATACAACGATGCCCACTGTAGCTTGATCAGTTGTTATGGCGTCAGCACTTCTGGTTGCCTGTAACCAATAGCGAGATGGCACACCGGATGCAGTTAGTTCAACAATCCATTGAGGACCATTGATCCTAGCTTCGGACACGTTACACACATCGATATTGAATGTGTCCAGGGTGCGTGCAAGTGCAACCGGCTGACCTATCCTTCTTGGACCACAAACGTGGAACATTGCCAAAGAACCAAGACAGCCTGGCTCTATAAGGGGCTGTTGATGTCCCGCGTCCAGTGGGTGGTGCGGGAAGGTAGCTTGAAATGGTGAAACTTCAGTGGGATTCCGGAAGGGTATAAGAGAAACTGATGAGACAAAATAGAACGGGCACCAGCAGTCGCAGGTTTTTGTTTATCCGCTTTGTCCTATGCAGTAGTTAAGGCGACCCTTTAGAAGTTGCGCGACGGATGTTGCGGGATATGCTTGAAGTTTGATGAAATATTTTTGGTTGTACCTGAGCTGAGATACTGCCAGCGCGGCCAAACAAAGACTGGAGGACGATTGGAGTCCTTACCCTGTCTTTTGTCAAAAACCTAACCACCAGTCAGCGGAGAGATGGCAACGATCCCGTTTTACGGAAATGGATGTTATCAATTTTTCAACCCTTAGCTTGGTGGAACTCATGATTAAGTTCGTCTGATTTCCCTAATCGTTGATCATTTTTGTGGCAGCTTTTATGGGGTCAAGGGGCGGCTCGGTGTATAGCCCAATGGGTCGAAAATGTACCCCAGCCATCTCACCGCGTTATGATCGTCACGTCGCGACGGAAACAACACAAGTTACTTGAGTGAATTGCTTGGGATCCCGAAATGAAAAGATACACCTATAGCACATTCATCATCGCTATACACCTTAGGTAGAGGTGGGAAACACCTCAGCTACTGTACCGCAATACCTAAAAGAATAAAGGGAATAAAATGCAACTGGTGTAAGCCAGCTGAGCTACCGGTAATGGATGGGCATCGTTCCAGTAAGCTACTAACAGGCTACTATGCAGTAGAAAAAATAATTTACTATGCAAAATTTTAAAAGGCTAAATAATGAGATCGTGATTGGAGTGTGAGACTAAGAGGGATGGGGTGGGACAAAGAAACTTACTACCCAAACGCCACTGAGGTCGGCTCCTAGGCATATCAGCAAGTGTATCCAGCCAAACGTGTTCATCGTCTTTCGGACCCCAACCAGGGAGCCCAGATACTCCAACTGAGGCCAGCTCCTCTTCTTCCATCCACACCGCCGGCGTGCAAACAGCGTACGTCGCAGGAGTCGGTGGGCTGGCATGCGTAACACGTGGCCGAGTCATCGGAGCCTGGTGCGTGAAATGACGGTGCTGAGCGGTTCAGTTCCTTTTCCTGGGCCGTAAACAATGCGTCGAACACGCTCGTTACTCACGCGGTGTTCCTACCAGATGTGAGCCAAACTGCGAAGGCACCGGTGGTCGAACGTAACTAGCCTCTCTATGTCCGTGGATCTAAGGGGCTAGGTTTCACAACCGTACGGTAGGGTCGGACGTACCGTTGCATTGTACACTCTACCCTTCAGGGCAAGATTGATGTCGCGCCGGCGCCATAAGTGGCGAAGGTTATCAAAAGCACTTCGAGCTTTTGCTATACGGTTCGTGATCTCATCTTCGATCCTACGGGCGCTGATACAACTTTCTAGGTAGTTGAATTTTTGAACGTAGTATTGCTCCTCGAACACTAGACAGAACGGATGTGTTATTTATAAACTTCCGTTTTGACGGAAAGCCTGCTACCTTTTACTTTTATTTGACTTATTGCTTCTATTTGCATTTCATACCTCTGAATTGTTTCTTTTTTGTAGCTGATGAAAACGTCGACTATCGCGAATCACTTGAATTTCTTTAGCCGTTTGGTTGATGAACCCTGGGCAAATGGGCTACCGCTGATTCCACCCGGCAACTTTTCCGCTCCTGGTCGTTCTTCTTCGAGACCATCGAGTCACACTACTTGGACTAGTCGCCTTCTCATGATGGCTACTCGACTCTCTCCCAGTGGCTCTTCGACCAAAGCTTGGTTGCGTATGGCTGATTGGTGTTTCACTCGTGGACAGTCTCTGGTGAGTTTCTGTGTACCTTGACTCTATCCTGTATGACACGTTCGTAACTCTGTGCGTAACTATATATCCCAACTACTCGTTCCGAATTAACGATTTTGTTCGAGGATACCCATCTCTATCTTCCCGCTCAATGGTTTGGCCCCAAGACTATGGACTAAATTAAAATTGACCTGAGCGACTCATATCGGTTCCTCTGATTCCGCCGTCTAACTCACTCAAATCCAATGTCTTGGGATTACGGATGCAATGTCCCATGGGAACTTTCTTTAAGCCTGTCACACACAGCCTTAACATTTTTAAGACAACTCATCATCAGCAATACATGTTAGCGCACAGTCAACCGTTCACTAATTTTGTCGGATCCGCATCCTGTTGGTTAGAGGCCGCCTGATTCTAATCAAGTGGTAACCGATCAGTGGTCATTATTTGCAGCGTAAACACTTATCTCCCATATCTGAGTTTTGTGGAGCTAGTTGCAATCCCCTGACTTCCAATGATGGGTTTATGCCATGCGTCCAAGGCTCGTGCTCCTGCTCCTGCGTGGACCGCGGTGTCATGTGTTGATGCACTCCTGATACCTTCCTTACTCGGTGGAGGAACGCGGCGCACCTCTGCGCTTATTGAGTCCACTTTGCACTAAAGTCTGGTCCGTTCTATTTGTTTTACTGCGCCCAGCTTGAACTTGCATTCTGAGATGATTGATTGTGGGCACTTTGTTGAGTTGGATCCATGTGGAAAAACTTGGCACTGACGCTGCCTATCGTCTTTCACAACGGGATCTAAAAGAAAGTCAGTAATCCACACTGGAAAACATACGAGAAGAGCGAACGAAAAGGTATTATACATAATCTGTTTCCTCATCATACGTTACGGAAATGTGAACTTTTGTCCAAACTACACAGTGGTCAACTCAAGACATGGTTGTGTGTGTTAGGGAATTACCATTGTTACAATCCCGCGTCTGTCTTCGGCAGTCATATGGGTCGGAATGCAACGTGGAAATTGTTCACAAGTACACACACGATACAGATTTACTTGTAGGACACAGATGCACAGTAGCCGCTTATGTTGCTAGTCAGGTTGACACTGTATTGTTTGCGGTCATGTAGCACGATTGCATTCCTAGCCGTTTTGTCTTACGATGTGTACCGGGTCACCTGCTTTGTGGCTGTTTATACCGTCCTACTAATCGCGCATATTTTCTCTAGATTGAGGAAACCCAAGCTGCAGCCAAGTCTCTTTTGGAATCTTCTATTGACTCCGATACCCTTACCACCGCTTCTGGCCGTCACCCGAAGAAGTTACTACTGGATATGTTGCAACCTGAAGAAAGAAAATCCGTCTGCTCCTCCCTTCGTGAGCACCTTTCCTCCTTGAATTCAGCCGCGTTGGTATCGGACGAGGTTATAGACGACCATTTACCTCGTTTGATTGCTTGTTTGACTGGTTTCATGGTATTTGGTGCAGATGGAACCGAAACGACTGTTTCCGAGTCTTCATCGTCTCAGCTCGACATTGAACGACGTAGACCGCTGCGTTTCTACTCCATTTGTCCAGACGAAAAATCTGATGAGTTTCAGGTGAGTGGCATTTGCCCTTATCTTCCGGCTTTCGCTACTCTTGTCCCTTTGCTAAACGCGCTTCTTTTTTGTTATTTCAGATGATAGAACGATTGAGATCCCATTTGCACTCTATTTTGCCTGCTATTTTCCCCTCCCCTACATCCATCTCGCTGGAGTCGGCCCGATATTTTCGTCAATTAGTTACATCTCTCACTCACCGACAGTATGGTTTTCACACATCTGCAGCCCAAGCTTACGCAACATTTCTCACTGTGGCAGGTCAGCAGACATCACCGACCGATTCACCTGCCACGTCAGAAGATTATGCCTCCAAGTTAGACACCACTACAGGTAACCGACTGTTTTCAATAAAGTTTTCACCACGTGTGCTTGGTTTCAGCATTCAGTATACATCTCTTTATGTGTTCTTCGGTTGTTGTCTTCGGCTAGTCGCGTTTTCGTAGTCTGCATTCTACGACGCTGACATCATACTTTCCCTTTTATTCTCATTACTGCTCAGTGATAACATATTTTTATAAAGGCGAGTGACCTCGCATCATCTCAGTCCCTCTAGCTGTTCTTGAAACAAACTCACTCCAAACTTTACGTTGCCCATCGTCATTCTTGTGGAATGACCGGGCGCTTGCAGACGGTTCACTTCTTGTCTACTGCTAGACCCCATATCTCCATTACAGCCCGTTGTGGCGTCACCACTCGCCGTCATGTTATGCCCGCAACTTTCTGCTTCTTCTTTCTTAGCCATTTTAAAGCTGCTGGATCTACTGTCTGCTCCCAGCCGTGCGCTTCGCAATTTGATCGCCGGATTCCTGATGCATGGTGCCCCGTCCGCTCACTCGTTCGATCTCAACTTATCACTATCCGGAGACGAATCAGCCTCAACAACCGTACCGGGCACCCAGACTTCCGAACGTCGAATAACTAGTCGCATGCCGCCATACCTCGGAACTACACTTGGTGGACCGTCTATGTGGGAAGTATGCCTTCCACAGGCACTCGTTCGTCTTAGTCTACCCGACCCCATCATACGACGCTGTTTGGTCGCCTTGTTACAACGGCTTATCTTCACCGGGAGCCAATCAGTTGGATATGGTCATCCCGTTTCACATGACAGTAAATATCCCTCATCACCATTGCGATTCGCTGCGCATCTAGTCTTCCCCGCAGTGGTGGCTGTTTTGGACGCAAACAGGCTTACCTTCACTCGCGGTGGTACGTTCCAAACAATCCGATCGTCCTTTTCGATTCTTGTTTTTACTATGAGTCATATTTATCCCAACGTCACCATAAGTGGCGGATCAGCTCTGAGTAACTATTTCCTCCGGTGGTCGAATCACTGAAGAATTTGCTTTTCACCTCGACTAAGGTTTTGTCGTCAGCGGAAACATGATGGCTTAGTTTGTCTATCCATGGCAGAGGGTATAGCGTTGTAGTTCACCCAATGTTGCCGTACGAATCAAAGACATGGTCACTGCTTTGATTATTCTAAAGACTTGGCCTTCACATACTATTGCTTGCTCAGCATCGCTTGTATCTGGCGGAACCACCTTGCTCGAATATGTTTAGGACTTCCAATTAGTGTTCAGTAACAGCAGGTCATTTTCGCTCTTCCGTCTAAGTACTCTGCTTTTGTATGGTCGAATTCTTTTCTCTTTCCGTTCTGTACTATTTCTTTTTGTTGTTATCGTTAGGGTGATATCGTCTGACTTGTGATCCCCTAGTCGCCAGTTCGAGCCTGCCTGAGTATGGGCGGTCTCACGATATCCATCCCCTTAGCTCACACGCGATTGGCAGTGGTTGTGTGACAGTGAAGCGCCGGTACGGCATACCAGAAAGAAGAAAGATATCACCAGTACGCCGATGCGCAGTTCCGACGCTTCACTGCCGCGCAGCCAACATCGGTCGCACTTGAGCTAAGGTTACTGCGAGGGTCGCCCTGCTCCTTCGCAGGCTCGAACCTGCGCCCTCGGATTATAGGGCAGGCTTGTATTCTTTAAGGCTACAGGCTGGCACAGCATACCGGCGTATTGTTGGTACTTGTTATGCGTATCAATTCATCTGGATTTATCACATCTAAGGGCCCGGGTCTTACTTGATCAACGAAACCACTCAGAGGAGGTGTTGCGTTTATCTTAGACATCAGCTGTCTGATTTTATCCGGGATCTACAGATACAATCTTCAGGGGGAGTATTAGACCATATTGTCTACCATAAATTGTCGAGTTAACCTCTCACCCGGACACTGGTCGATGATATACTACATCCATTTACATGTAACCAGTTATATCCCCTTCGGACGTATCTATCCACAACATTGGTTTGGTTATCGTTCCTTCCAATGTGCTTGTCTGTTTCAACTGATCATATAGAGCCCAATTCGCAATTTTAAAAAGAAAACCTGAGGGTTTAGGCTGTCACACTCATTCTGATTCCATGGATACGCAACTTTGCTGTACACACTCCATGTATCGGGTGGCCATCTAGACTATGTAATACAGTTTTTCACCCTTATTCATTTCAATCTATATCACTTTCACACCTAAACTACACCTCTATCGAATATATATGCCAACGTACCACAGCTGACTCTTTATCCATCGATCGAATCTCAACCTTGTCTTTCCGTCGTAGACGTTATTACAATCCACAGGTCCTACGCTGGCTTCACGCCATTTAATCGTTTACTCTCAGATCTCAGTTGATGTTTGTCTACGGTTGTTACACGTGTTCACATTTCCTATCAAACCGACCGCAGTGTGTCGCTTTCTATCCGTTCTGGTGCTTCCTTTCACCCGCTTCCCAACATACTAGTTTCCGGGTGACTGTGCAGAATGTTTCTCTATAGCTTCCATGTTTTGTTTATTCAGCCACAAAGCCAGATGCCTCCACGGTTGGAGACATTATTCCGTCCTCGGTCACTTCTGCCAGTTGCTTCACTGAAATCATCGACGCCCTACAAAGCGCAGGTTTCACCTCTCTCGTCCATCAAGTGGAGTTATTTGTTTCCGAATTGCAGCGTATCACTTTGTTATGGGAAGAATTGTGGCTCGGCACCCTATCGCAGCACCTCGAGGAGTTGACAAAAAAAGTGAGTCTCCCCAACGCGTGCGCTACATCTTCCCGTTTTTATTGACTCTATTGTAAATGGGATCAGTTATTGAATTCGGTGCTGGGGTCCATACCATTTGAATAGATACAACATTTAGTTGATGCTGTTTGTTTCTGTGCAAACTAAACCGACTACTTCATGCTTGACTCTACGACTCGTCGGTAGCCCTTTGATGATGTGCTCAAAAGCACCATTCTCATACCTTGTGCTAACCGTTACGGACTCATCATGATTAGTCTGCACTCTGTGGCAGCGCGATGGTTTAACTAACTCAGTGGTCCACTGAGTTAAGTTCCAAGGCGATTTCCTAGGATCCTCACGGCCGCCAGTACCATCTACGTCATCGGTTACGAGTCGGACCAATTGGATCACAATATTTTTGTAAGCGAGTGTAGTTAGATCGATAGCCCTCCTATCCGGAAACTCGTTTCTGAGCTGGCACAATACACTGCACTGGTAGTGTGCAGCTGGATTCAGTTGTCTATACATGTTTCGTACTCGAAAGTGTCGTGCGTTTCCTTCCATTGATTCACACCACTGAAAATAATAGTGCTAATGATAACAACAAAGAATGCTAATGGCGATGCAAGAGGGCGGAACATCAACAGCAGTACATCGACCACCTGATGCTTCGCCGCCCCCCTTACAGTCATGGTGGCCTACGGAACGAAGCATATGTACAGGGAGAGTAGGGGGACCCACGTAACAACTTAATACTCTAAACAAACATTTAGGGTGAAGGCGCCTACAGCTTATGTCAACAACATACCGTCACAAACAGCTGCCTATCGTGCAAAGTAGTATAATCGCCTGCTAGAACACTAAATACTGAAGGAGAGTATGCGATAACGTCCCTTCTTGTCTGCGCCGTATCCCATGGCATTTCACACCGCTAATGTGGCTGTTCCCGACACCCCAACCAAATATACGTAATGCTTCTGTTGAGTTTCTTCTTGCTTCTTGTTGTGTTTAGTATCCAGCTCGATGAAATGTTGGAGTAATACACGGTGAGACGACTGGGTAACAGTTCTATGAAAAATATGGCCTATCCTGTTTACATTATCTCTGGGTTTCACCCAACTAGATTCATTTGCGACAAACCAACACGCATTGAGCTACCGGATGCAGTTCGAATTCATCTGGCACCCAAACAAGACACCAGAGCACCTGTTACCGAACCCCAGGTTTTGTGCCGCAACCCTACTCGTTCGGTCCTTCCATCAGGTATAAGCAACTCTGCTCAAGCATCACTAACCTAATGTATTTAACGCACAACGACCAGATATTTGATCGATTTGGTACAATTGCCCGCATCACAGAGTTGCACATCCTTCTGCCCCGTCGTATCCATAATTGGCTAAAGCTTCGAACGGGTGCATGTACTTTGACACTGGGTACATCTGTTGAGCGCACCAGTTCACGGAACACGCTCAGGCCCATTTTCATAGTTGACAGATTAGCAGCTTAAAGTCGGCTGCTCAGCATTTGACCAGTGAAAATGTTTGAACAAATTCCAAATTTCCCGGTGAAGCTCATTTGCCCACTTATGAGCTCAGAACCATTTGTAGTCTAATCAACGCTACATCCTTTGTGACTTCCTTGAGCAGTGTTCATCGAGGTTGCCGTATTCTGCTTGTACCACTTAGCTCGGTCGGAGTTCGCAATAACTGGATCGGCCCATCTGCTCTTACCAGCAGGGAACTACTGACAATAATCCGGATAATCCGACCACTTAGGTACCTCAACTACCCGACTACTTCCTGCAGTGGCTGGCATCAGCAGTACGCCGGTATGTAGTACCGACGTTTCGCTGCCGCGCAATCACCACAGGTCGCACGCGGGCTGGGGGATACTGCGTGGGTCGCCCTGCCCCTACACAGGCTCGAACCCGCGCCACCAGATTACAAGGCTACGGGCTCAGTAATTACGAGAACAAAATGTGTGTTGATCAGGACTTGCAGCGCTACTCATCAGTCTATTTTACAGAGATTAGACAACAGCGCCAAGTCCGGCCAAATGAAAGCTATATCCTCCACACACACTCCCATTTTGACAGTCGGTCGCCCAATGTAGATTTTGTTCAAAAAGAGTTGAATAAAGCGAAATCAAGGATTCAACGGGAGATAGAGCAACTCCGACGTGTTCCACTTGTTTTGATGGAGCCGGGATGGAGTTTCAGGTTGTCTCTCGTGGTCGTGGAAATCACAGCGTAGTACTTTCGGAATAAACAGGAATTTCTCCGACAAAATCACAAACAACTTACATGAACTAAAGTAGCCAGTCTGCTGACAGTCGAAAAGTGTGTGCGCGCCTACCTTGTGATCCGGAGATCACCGGGGCTCTACTCCGCACGTAGGTATGGGCGACTTCGCGGTGCATTTAGCCTACGCGCGACTGATAATGGTGGTCGCGAGGCGTCAGCACGGTGTGCCGGCCTTGTCTTGACATTGATATTACATGCATCGCGCCTCGCTTCGGCTGAGCGAAGCTACCGTTACCCATAGTCCAATTTACTTTTTAGAAATTTATATCTCCGGCTGGATTTTTTTAACTTGTTTCTGTAGTCTTAGGATCTACTGGTTATACTTTTCATCCTATCCAACTGGCTGGATTTTGCCTCTACAACCCACTCCACTGACATCGGGGTTTTAAAGCCGGGTCACAGTTCGGTGCACATAAATAGGCACAAATTAAACCATCCGTTCAACCAGATGTAAGCTCTTTTTTATCCCATTAACGACTTAATTAGGACTTTTTCTGGTTCAGCTCACAAGCCACATCGTCTAATTGCCAATCCTTAAAAACACCACGCAGTCGTTTCGCCCTATTGGGGCTCGTCAGTGGTGCGCATTCCCCCGATCCCCTTCAGGGCACTCAACCCATGACGACCGCTAGTGGCTTGCGCCAACTATGTAACTCTTAATCTACCTTAGTTATTCACGCTCCCATCTACTATAGGCGGTCAGAAACGCCGTTTCCATATGCATCATGTTTGGCGGCATCCGTTACTGGACTTGCGAGCGACCACAATCGAATAAGACCGGAAATCATGTAGATGGGAGCCACGAGGCGGTCCACACTCCTTCGGCATGCACCTCATTCATACGAACTTGAGAGAAACATGCATACCAGGCGTAAACAAGGTGTTGTTTGGGCCGTTACCCGTTCCACACTGGATGGGACCACTTTTTGAGCCTAGCACCGTCGTGAATACTGTTCACCCCGTTTTCCCACCAACGATCAACTGTCTCCTAGATCCAGTAATTGAAGTTGCGATTTTCGACATGCATCGTGCCAACCTTCACCTCAAATGGACCCAGACATAGGATATCAATCAGCATACGCTGGCACACGTACAGACCAAGGACCGGGACGATGCTATGTATGTACCACATCTGGCATATTATTGGACTGGGTTAGTAAACAAAAACAAGCAGCGTACTTACCATGCGCTGACGCTTAATCCACTCCTTTGGATATTGGCGCTTGGTGGCCACCTTGACGACTTGTCAATCCTATTCGACGGAGACACAAACGACTCCATGTTTGCATATGCATGAAATACATCTCATCAAGGTCCGCGTAATGGAAATGTTGTCAAGTCTGACAACCTGTTACATGCTTGTTCGTTGGTTGGCTGACTGGTTCCCATTGCGTAGTCCTCGGTCTCTCCTGACGTTCATCTGCATGTGGACACTATCGAGTAGACCGAAACCTGTGTCTGGCAGGCAGTGTGGTTACGTATAGAATAGCCAACTCGCGGGATGAAGTATACCCGAAAACATGCTTTCTTTGATAGTATTCATACTTGCCCATTTACCACATGTATCCTCAAACGTTGTATACCCTTTTGGTTTCAATTCCGGGTTAGGCAACTCCGCAATATGTCCGTCCATTCGTTTCATTCCTGTATTTCTAGTAACTGCGTACCAAACCTATCTTAGTGTATACATCGGTTTAACTTGCCTTTCTGCCGCTGTTGTGCAGATGCCAGCACGGGTCTACCGATTCGTATGTTACACCTTACTGTTTAACTGTACTGGAGAGTGACTGGCGTTTATCCCTGAGTGAATGGGGTGGCGTTCGTAGTGATTGTTACCCTTATGTCTACTTATCCAATGCCTCCATCTCATTTTCTGGCTCCGAACATTCATCCTGCAGCTGGCTGCGATCCATCCGCGGCCTCGGTGCACCAACCTCCGGTGATATGCGTGCTTAAGTAGCATGGGTTGGCGCCGAATCAATCATGGCCCCCAGGTCACATCTATTTAGGTTGACGCTAAATGTGGGATGTACGTAGAAAGCAGCACGAACCACCCTTGTTTCCTTTGTAGCCACGGGTGTTCTGTCGCTGCTCATATAGTCGCAGTGACAGACAAACCTGTGGTCGAATACTACCACCCGCATGCTGATGCGTCGAACTGCGGTCGGTGTACCCACTTCCTGATCAGAGACTAGCCTGATTCTGCTTTGACTCACACAATGATCACTAGGCCACCGCACCATGGTTCAGTTGGGTAGTTGCTAGCCAATGGGAATTTGACTAATACTATTGCACTACCGCCTTCAGTGCTCTCTACTTGACATTCTAATCCAATGCAGACTATCAAAAGTCAATACTCGACAGACAGTGTGATTTATGCGCTACACATCGACTATATACGGTTGGCGGCATCCGGTTTCGGATTTGCTTGTCATTGTGGCCAGCCACAGGACGCCTGCGCCTACAGGGACCATGGGCGGCTTGCGCTGCACCTCACACAGTGCATCCACACACCCCGTATCCATTGTAAACCCGTAGGATTAAAACGGGAGACATGTGGATGGGAGCCACGTTTCATCAACGGAGTCGGCCCACACTCCTTCACAGGCAAACACAAGCACGCTGTATTTGGGGAATCAAGCGCACACAAGGCGGTGGCTGGACCGTAGTCCGCTCCACACTGAGTCCCATCACGGGGACGGTGCACCCCGTCCTC